CGAATCCTTTTTAAATTTTGTGAGGGTTTCAAGTCGGGGGTTGACCGTCTATCTGTCAGGGTCCTTTTCTAAAACATATTGGTGGTGATTTGGGGGAAAACTGAAGGATCTTGATCTGATCGATTGATCAGGGGTCACTTTTTAAAAACATAATGGTCGGTGATTTGGGCTAACACATGAAGGATCTACTGAAGTTATCTACCAAATAATATGTATTTGATTAATAAAAATTATACTTGCGTGTTTAAAGAACGTTGATTGCTGGAGTGCTAAATGAAAATGGTCGACCTCAACCCTTGTTTTATCAATCACTGTATCAGCTTTTCTAGGTTTTTTCCGTCTCCACCACAATAAATGCTATATTATCACTATATTTTGACTGGTGGAAATTTTGGGGGAAGGATGCTTTTTCTTTGTAATATTTGCTTCTCGTTATGTATATTGCGCCCGCGGGTAATACAGGTTTTATAAAGATTCACAGTATATGTCTGGTATTTCAAGAAAATAGAAACTAATGAAAGTCACCCCCACTCCACTCCACTGACATCAATGACTACAGAAAGCACCTTACTATGCAAAACATTTCCCAAAATTGTCATTTTGTCTCAGGATGCGACCCACACCAGTCCACAAACACCCAGGTCCCCCATTTTCTAATGAGTGAACGGGGACAACAGATGTAAGGAAAGACGCCAAATGTTTCACCCCTTTCCGGGAATTCGAACTCTGCCCCTCACGTGTGAAGCAAAGTTTTTGCCAAATTCTATTTTTTTTCCTTCCAGATGATGTTGGTGGTGATGGTGGTGATGGTGGTGGGGCAGCGTAGCCAGGTGAGTGATGGTGACAGTGCTGGTGGCAGGGTTTATAAGCATGGTATGACTTTCTTTGTACTTAACAAATCAAAATTGTAATCACACATTGTAAACATTGCAAAAGAAATAAATTTTTTAAAATATAAAAGTTGGTAATACTGTGACCACAGTTGGTGGAGCCAGACTTGATGTTTACAGTCTTGCTGGTGGTAATCACTGCAGACTCCAGACATTTTATGTTTGCATCTGTCAACTCCCCATTAACGATGCTTAGTGTAATGGTAGTTTAGCTTTTAGCGGCCCATGAGTGGGTTACATATACCCTCCCATCCCTTTAACCTCCCCCTCCCTCACACAGGGCAGGGGCCTTCACTGGAGGACCATTCACCTCCAGTCATTTGTCGTCAAGCAGGCTCAGGATTCCTACGCTTCGACGACGACTTCGATGACTTCGACGACTTCTTCGACAATGACCGAGACGACTCCATTGAAGACCTGTATATGACTTATATGATGACGACCCAAGTGACCGGGCGGAGGCCAGGGCTGCCCTCACCCGGCTCAGGGCCTCCGGTGCCATCAACGGTAACGCCTTCAGGAACAACAGGTTCATAGCTAACAGGTAAAGAAGCAGGAGAGATTCTGTTAACAGTAGTCATTGGGAGGGGTCCTTAAGACAAACAGTGAAATATACATAAACAGTTCGAACACAGTTTAACAGCAATGCTTCATAAACAGTTAACAGGTGTCACACAAACAGTAGTCTGTGTTAACAGATAACAGAACGATCCTGTAAACAGTAGAAGCTTTGATAAGCAAAAAGAATATTCCAATAAAAGTTAATTATCATGGGGAACCGCTAAACCTGTATGCTTTAGAGCACCTGGAGAATGGAGGGCAATCAGGTTTGATACAAGGAGGGGGATGACAGCTCCAATTCCTTGGATCAAGAGAATTATTACTAAAAGGTTCATGCGTAAAGGAAAAAATTTAATTTTTTTTCAAACTTAACCAAAACCCGACAAAAACCAAGACAAACCAAGAAAACAAAGGACTAAAAAGACCCCCAAAAAAGCAAACCACGCCAAAACCAAGTTCACAAGCCCCTCAAACAACACAAAAAGAAAACAAAGCCCAACAAACAAACCAAACAAAAAAATAACAAAACACAACAAAAGAAAACACAAGCTCAAAAAACCATAAACGGGGCACACAAACAAAACAAAACAAACGACTTAAACAAGACTTAAAAAGCAAAAAAGAAAACCAAAAATAAAAGAAAATTAAGCAAACCGACTAACACGAATTTAACACATAACAAAAGACACAACCACAAAAAATAAACAAAAAAACTAAGAAAAAAAGCCAAACCTGAAAACACAAGAAACACAACAAACACAAACACCCAAGATCAACACAAGACACAACCCAAGACACAACACTAAAAAAACCCAAAACAAACAAACACAAACAAGACCAACACAAGACACAACAAAAGAACAAACAAACCCAACACAAGACACAAACAAGACCAAACAAGACCAAACACAAACACAACAAAAGACTAAACCCCAAGACAACACAAGCCCAAAAACAAAAACAACACAAGTAACACAAGACCAACACAACACAACAAAGACCAACACAAACTCAACACAAGACACAACACAAGCCAACACAAACCAACACAAGACACAACAAAAGACACAACACAAGACCCCCACAAACTCAACACAAACACAACAAAAGACACAACCAAGCCCAACACAAGACTCAACACAAGACCAAACACGAAAACACAAGACACAACACAAGAACCCACACAAGACAACACAAAAACCAACAAAACTAAACCCCAAACTCACAAACATAACACAAACCAACACAAGCACAACACAAACAACAACAAAAGACCAACACAAGACTAAACAAAGACAAAACCCACAAAAAACACAAAAACCAACACGAACAACACAAGACAAAACAAAAGACCAAACAAGAAAACCCCCCCAAGACACAACACAAATCAACCAAGACAACACAAGACACAACCCAAAACCAAAAAAGACACAACAAAGCCCCAAAAAACACAAACACAACACAAACTAAACAAAAACCCAACACAAACACAACACAAGACTAAACCCAAGACACAAAAAACAAAAAACAAAACACAAGACAACACAAACCAAAAAAAACCCAAACACAAGACAAAACAAAGCCCTCAACCAAGAACAAACAAGACACAACAAAACACAACCCAAGCCCACAAATACAAACACAACAACAAGACAAACAAAAGACACAACAAAGACTCCACAAACCAAACAAGCCCAAACACAAGACCAACCAAGACACAATCAAGACCAACAAAGCCCAAAACCCAAAAGACACAAAAAAAGACACAACCCAGACACAACAAAAGACACACACAAGACTCAACTAAAAACAAAGACTAAACAAAAGACACAAACAAACCAACACAAGACACAACACAATACACAACAAAGACCAACACAAGCACAACCCAAGACACAATACAAGACACAACAAAAGACACAACAAAAGACACAAAACAAGATCAGCACAAACCAACACAAGACTCAACACAAACACAACACAAGACTAAACACAAGACCAACACAAACAACACAAGACCAACACAAGAAAACCCCCAAAACAAAAATACAAGACACAACACAAACACAACAAAAGCACAACACAAGACCCAACAAAGAACAACCCAAGACCAATAAAACACAACACAAGACACAACAAAAGACACAACACAAAACCAACAAAAAAAGACACAAAAACAAGACCAACAAAAACACAACAAAGACTAAACAAAGACACAACAAAAGATCAACAAAGACAAAAACACAAGACTAACAAAGACACAACACAAGAAAAACACAAGACCAAAAAAGACAAAAAAGACCAACACAAACACAACAAAAAACCAACAAAACCAACACAAGAAAACAAAGACCCCAAACAAAACACAAACAAGATCAACAAAGACCACACAAAAAACACAACACAAACACAACAAAAGACCAACACAAACCCACAAACACAACAAAAACTCAAACAAGACACAAACAAAACAAACAAGCCCAAAACACAAGACCCCAAAAAAGACACAACACAAAACTCACAAAAAACAACACAAACACAACACAAGACCAACACAAGACTCAACACAAGACACAACAAACAACACAACACAAGACAAACAAAACAAACACAAGACTCGCACAAACCAACACAAACCAACACAAACAACAAAGCCCAAAAACCAGACACAACACAAGCAAAACAACAAGACACAAACAAACAACACAAACAAACACAAGACACAACACAAGAAAACACAAGACCAAACAAAACAACACCAACAAAACACAAGAAAAACAAAAGACCAACACAAGACACAAAAAAACTAACACAAAACAACAAAAGATAAAACACAAACCAACACAAGACAAAACCAAGACCAACCAAGACACAAAAAAACAACAACCAAGCCCAAACAAAGACTAAACACAAGACAAACACAAGACCAACAAAGACACAAACCCCAACACAAGACACAACAAAGACTCAAAAAACCCAACACAATACTCAAACAATATTAACACAAGACAAAAAAACACACGACCAAACAAGAAAACACAAAACTCAAACGGGGACACAACACAAGACACAACAAAAACACAACACAAGAAAAAACACAAGACACAAAAGACCAACACAAGACCAACAAAAAACAAACAAAAAACAACACAAGAAAAAACACAAACCAAAAAAGACCAACACAAAGACTCACACAAGCCAACACAAACACAACAAAAGACCAACACAAGAAAAACCCAAAAGACAAAACAAAATAACAAAAGACAAACAAGAACAACACAAAAAACAAAGACACAACACAAACCAACAAACACAACAAAAGACTCACACAAACCAAACAAGAAAAACAACACAAACTCAACACAAACACAAACAAGATAAACACAAGACAAAACCCAAAAAACCCAAAAAAGACCAACACAAACAAGCCAGACACAACACAAACTCAACACAAGCCCAAAACACAAGACACAACAAAAGGGCTCCAAAGACCAACACAAGACAAAACACAAAACCAACACAAGGGCCAACACAAACAAAAACAAAACACAAGACACAACAAAGACCAAAAAGCCCAAAACACAAAAAACACGGGGCACCACAAGACCAAACAAACCAACCAAAACCAACAAAAAGGCACAAACACAACAAAGACACAACACAAGACACAACACAAGACTAAACACAAGACAAAACACAAGATAAACAAGAACAACACAAGATCAAACAAGACTCAACACAAGAAACAAAGACACAAAAAACTCAACACAAGACCAACACAAGCACAACAAAAGACACAACCAAACTCAACACAAACACAACCCAAACCAACACAAGAAAAACACAAGACCAACCCAACAAACAAACACAAACAAGACACAACACAAGACACAAAACAAACTAAAACACAAGACACAACCAAACCAACAAAACCCACACAAAACTAACAAAGACACAACAAAAGACACAACAAAAAACTAACCAAGACACAATACAAGACCAACAAAGACACAACAAAGACCAACACAAGACCACACAAAAACAACACAAACTCAAAAAAACCCAACACAAACTCAACAAGACCAACACAAACACAACACAAGACTAACACAAGCAAAAACCAAGACCAACAAAAACAAAAACAAAAAAGACCAACACAAGACACCAACAAAAAAAACTCACAAAGACAAAACCCCAAGACAACAAAAAAATCCAACAAAAGAAAACACGAACACAACCCCAAGCACACACAATACTCAACAAAAGAACAACACAAGCCCAAACACAAAACACAAACACAAGACAACACAGACCAACCAAAAGACAAAAACACCAGAACAACAAAGACACAACACAAGACTAACACAAAACAACACAAGACCAACACAAGACTCAACACAAGACTCAACAAAACACAAACAAGACTAAACACAAACACAACACAAGACACAACCAAAAACAACACAAGACTCAAACAAGACAAACACAAGTCAAAAAGGGGCCAACACAAGACAAAAACCCAAAACAATACAAACAAAACAAGACAAAACACAAGACACAACACAAGACACACAAGAACAACACAAAACCAACAAGCACAACAAAAGACCAAAAAGCCCCAAACACAACACAAACAAAAACCCGACAAATACAAGCCCAAAACAAAACAAAAAAAAAAAGAAAAAAAGATCAGCACAAGACACAACACAAAACTCAACAAAACCAAACAAATTCAACAAAGACAAAAAAACAAGACCAACACAAACACAAGCAAGACACAATACAAGCAAAACACAAACCAACAAAAGACACAACACAGACCACCAAGACACAACACAAGACTCAAACAAGACCAACAAAAGTCAACACAAGACACAACACAAGACCCAACACAGGGACCAACACAAGACTCCAAAACACAAAAAAAAAAAAAACACTCATCACAAGACCAACACAAGACAAAAAAACCAAACAAGAAAACAA